GATCAGGGGCTACCATCCCGCACTCCAAACGACGACGATGCCAACGACCCCACGACCTCAAACAAGTTTACTCCTGCAACCACTTCCGCGAACTGCGGTGGATCATGCAAGTTCCTGAGTATGAGGTCGCGCTCATTGGTTCCACCTGGCTGGTAAATCGTATGGAGGCGGAACATGATGGGTGCTGCATTTTGAGTTGCCCTGCGTGCTACGATGTCCGATTTCACAGACGCATCCAGTGCTTCCAACAGCATGGCACACGCCCTAATGTTGGAGTGGTTTTAATAACCCCCCCCTGAGGTTGTTTTGCACGGGGGTCTCTTGGGGCAGGGTCTGGGGTCAGGGTGGCAATAGTAAACCTCTGGCCTGGTCCAGGCCTAGTATACTAGTAGTAATAGTAATTAGTAGTAATAGTAGTAATAGTAGTCATAGTAATATTAGTAGTAATAGTAGTAATAGTAATTAGTAATAGTAGTAATAGTAGTGATAGTAATTAGTAATAGTAATTAGTAGTACGTGAAGTCTCAACCTCTGGCATTCGCAGCACTCTGGCTTGTGTGCCTTCTGACTTTCTGCTGTCCCTTCTGAACTCCTTCTGGCGCCACTGGACTGAAGCAGGGAGTCTGGCCTAGCTGGCGAGGGTTTGTTTCTGTTTAACTAGCCAATGAATATCTGAGGCCATGGCAGCCTCTGATGCGGACATGACTCTGGCTGGGGAGTCTTGTCTGTGTCTTTTTGTTTTTGGGTTTGGGTTTCTGCGAGAAAGGGTCTGGGTTTTGGTGTCTGGGTGTGACTTCTGCTCTTTTATGTATCTGAGGCAGCATCTGCACCCCTGGGCAACCCTGGCGAGCCTTGGCGATAATCTGCGAGAAGGGGTCTGGGGTTTGGGGTCCGGGTGTGACTTTTGCTCTGATCTGAGGCACCATCTGGAGCCCTGGGCAACCCTGACGAGCCTTGGCGATAATCTGCGAGAAAGGGTCTGGGGTTTGGGGTTCTGGGTGCGACTTCTGCTCCTTCTGGACCGGCCAACCCTGGCGACACTTGGCTGTTTCTGCGAGAAAGGGTCTGGGGTTTGGGGTTCTGGGTGCGACTTCTGGTCTTATCTGAGGCACCCTCTGGACCGGCCAACCCTGGCGAGACTTGGCGATAATAATCTGCGACAAAGGGTCTGTGTTTGGGGTTCTGGGCGTGACTTCTGCTCTTATCTGAGGCAATCTCTGGACCCCTGGGCAACCCTGGCGAGCCTTGGCGATAATCTGCGAGAAAGGGTCTGGGGTTTGGGGTTCTGGGTGTGCTTCTGCTCTTATCTGAGGCACCATCTGGAGCCAACAACCCTGGCGACGCTTGGCTGTTTCTGCGAGAAAGGGTCTGGGGTTTGGGGTTCTGGGTGACTTGTCTGGCATTTGCAAGAGGGTTTCTGGGGATTTGGGGTCTGGGTTTGACTGCTACTCTTATCCGAGGCACCGTCTGGAGGGCTCACTGCCGATGATCTGATGGAGACTCTTAAGGCACCAAAATGACCGTGCACGTTCGTTTCTGTGTGTGTGTGTCTGCATGTGTCTAATAATTAATCTGCCCTGCAGACGCTGGACCGGCAGAGGGGCCCTCTGTCCTTGCTCTGCACAGACCGCGTCCTGGCTCTGCAGACGGAGCTGCTTCGCTACGACGTCTGGCAAGATGGGCGGGGGTGGCTTCACTGCCAACGCGAGCCGCAGGTCTGTGCTGAGCTCTAGGATGAGAGGCGAACTGGAGAGATATCTGGCTGCCTCTGGGTCGCTGAAGCTCTGGGGCCACATCTGCTACCTGTCCGTTCTGGTGACACTGAACGAGGTGCATCTGTCATCAATTAACCATAGCTGTTCTGGAACAACCCATTCTGGACAGGTTCTGTACAGGATTGTCTGTGATGAGATCACGGATGAAGATGTGGCCCGTGTGAACGGGAATGTGGCGTTTGTCTGGGACTCGCAGCTCGGCTAATTAGTTCTGCAGTCTTCATCTGCCGGCATTCCGCTTTGATCTGAGTCTGGACACCTTCATGGCCAAGAAGGTGGATCTGGCGAGGGTTTCTCAGGACTGTGGGGACTGGGCTGTCTGGTTCCAGAGCTGCAACTTAGTTGCACCCAGGCCTTTGTTTTTTGTGTCTGGGGGGGGTGGGGGGGGCGGGTGGCTTGCATCTGCATACCGAGATCTGTCGGACTGCAAGAACCACCAGCTCTATATCCGTGATCTGGCATTCTTCTATGCCAGCCAGGGCTCTGGTGGAGCCACATCTGGGCCCAACTCTGGACAGATCTGGGAGAACATCTGCAAGAAGGCCTTCCCATCCTCTGCTTAATTAATTAAACCCTGGGCCCCTAACCCTGAAACCCTAAACCCTGAAACCCTGGAGCCCTAAACCCTTGCAGGTCTACTTCCCGTCTGACTACATGCGCCCGTTGCTTGGCCTAGAAGGGTTTAGGTTTTTGGGTCTGGGGTTTAGGGGTTAATGAGTTTGGGCCTCTGCTTTGGGATTCCTACCTAGGCTCTGGCCGAATCTGGTGCCCAGCTGTGGACTTCGCATGCCAGGTGCCTGAAGGTGGGGTTTGGGGTTGGGGTTGGGGGTGGTTGGGGGTTGGTGGTTCGGGCTTCTGCTCCTGCTGGCAGGAGCTTCTGATGCAGCAGATTCTGTGGCTTTGGCTGGTGTATCCGGTCATCTGGCCGAGGCCAGATCTGGCACACCAACCCCAGTCTAATTAGGGTTCTGGAAGCCCAGGATCTGCTGCAGATCTGGAAGGATCTGGATCTATCTGTACAAGGAGGGGTTAGGGTTTGGGGTTCAGGGTTTCAGGGTTTGGGATTTAGGGTTCAGGGTTGGGGGTTAAGGGTTTCAGAGTCTGGGGTTAATGGTTTCAGAGTCTGGGGTTAATTAAAGGTTTCAGGGTTTGGGGTTAAGGGTTTCAGAGTTTGGGGTTTAGGGTTCAGGGTTTGGGGTTAAGGGTTTCAGAGTTTGGGGTTAAGGGTTTCAGGGTTTGGGGTTAAGGGTTTCAGTGTTTGAGGTTACGGGTTTCAGAGTTTGGGGTTTTGTGTAATTAGGGTTTCAGGGTTTGGGGTTAAGGGTTTCAGGGTTTGGGGTTAAGGGCTTGGAGTTATATAATTAATTATTTAAGGGCTCGGGGTGAAGGGTTTAACTAAATAATATAGCAATATTTAATAATAATTCGTATTAATAACTCTAAGAATAACAACGAGAATAAGGATAATAAGAACAATAAATCATTAATTATGTAATAAGTAATTAATTAATAAAGCTAGCAACAACAATAAGGATAGCAACAACAATAAGAAATAAAAGCCTAATTATACATAATTAGTACTTGGAAACCACCACCACCACCACCACCACCACCACCACCACCACCACCACCACCACCACCACCACCACCACCACCACCACCACTAGCACTAATTACAAACACGATAACAATTAATCAATTAGTTAAATAATTGGCTCTGGGCAGGAGCCGATCTGAGCAGACGTGCGGAGACCTCTGGTGCCAGAGCTCTGGAGCTTTTCTGGTTACCCACCACCCCGAACAACCCACTAAACCCTAAACCCTAAACCCTTGTGCCCCCTTAATTAATTAAGCCCTCAACCTTAAAACTTAAACCTCCAACTTAGGTTTTTGGTTTTTATGACTTAGGGATGCACAACTGTTTTAATTCATAAGGGTTTCTATATCTAATTAGGTAATTAAGGGTTCTGGTTTTTCGTACAAAGCTCTGGAAGCTCTGGTCGCAGGCTCTGTGTTTTTCTTGCAGACGAGAGGAACCTCTGTCGCAGAGGAAGGAAAAATCTGGACGCACTGTGTCTGTCTTGGTTTCTCTCTTTCTAGAAGCAGCCCCTGTCTGATTGCAACATGTAAGTACTTGAGTAACTTCTGCTCAAGCTCTCTGGTCGCTTCTCTTCGGCAAGATGGGCAAGTCTGGGGTGCTCAAGAAGCCGTCTGCCTCCGCTGTGGTCAAGAAGCCGTCTCTGAAGCAAGACCCCAACGACGATCTGGCACCTGCCGTGCCTGAGCCGCTGCAGCGACTGAAAGCTCTGTCTGAAGCCTCTGAGGAGACTGAGCCTCCGTCCGAGGAGGCATCTCTGTATGCACCGGATTGTTTCCTGCATCTCTGGGATACTCTGAGTTCTGAACAGAAGGAGTATCTTCGCAAAGCCTCTGAGGTTTTGAAGGCTCTGAAGTGAGCCGCAGAACAGATCTCGCAGGAGGTTTTGAAAAAGAGTCTGACCTCGCATTGCACACGTTCTGGAAGTGTTGTTGCTCTGCAAGCACCGGTTGCAGCCGAGCTTCTTGTTCTCTCTGATTCCCGATTGGATCGAGCTCTGTGTCAGTTCTGTAGCTCCTCTGAACACTGACATGGTGTCCTCTGCGGTGGTCTCTGCCTACGTGGCGGTCTGTGCTCTGGGCAAAGCCTTTCTGCGAAAGCAGCCGGAGATTCTGACCTTGCTTGGTCTGTTCCTCGGCTTGGATCGAGCGGATCTGTTCTTCTGCTTGGCATCTGGTGAGCAGATCAGCCTCATCTGGAACGGTGCCGTCAGTCTGCGCTGGACTCTGAATGGCTGGCTGGTGAGGCGACGGGATCTGTCTGTTGGAGATCATCTCTGGCTTTGCTGGAAGAACCCTCCACAAGGACACGCTCTGACAGAGCGAGATCTGGTGGATCTAGGGTTCTCTGAGGAGGAAACCTCTGATCCCAACGGCGAATCTGCTGCCGAAGCCTCTGGCCAAGGTGCCGAGGTCTGGGAGATTCTGAATCTGTCGCCTGCTCCCAGGTCTTCCCGAGATCTGGAGTGATGATCTGCTTCGCAGTGAAGAGTGAAAACATTCCGAGCATCTGTTCTGCAAGGTTCTGCTTTGCCTGCATTGTCTGAGAAGAGCCTAGGAAGAAGCTTTCTGATTGTCCATGCATCTGCAGGCATGCCATTTTGGCTTCGCTAGTAGATCTGCCCAGCAATGTCTGTGGCGATCTCCTCTGATGAGGAAGATGGCGGCGGTGGTGTGGCCGCTTCTTCTGCTGCTCTGGTGTCCAGCGAGGACGTGTCTGAGCAGCTTGTGGCAGCTTCTGAAGGAAGCTTGTCGGAGCAAGCTCTGGTGACTGCAGAGAGTTCTACCTTACAGCCTTCTTCAGGCGAGCTGCTTCTGTCATTCCATGTTGCTTCTGGCAAAGACTGATTATTAATTCGTTCTGAAGTTTAGCTGCTGCAGTTCCTGGAATCCGGAGTCCCTGGCTTCTTGCCAAAGCCTGCAGCTTTCGAATACCAAAGCCTCTGGCTTCTTGTCCAAAGCCACTGGCTTCATAGCTTTCCCAAAAGCAAGGCTTCCCATCGGGAGCCCCTCCCCCGGAGGAGTTTATTATTGCCACCCCGTTTATAATTGCCAGAAGAAGGGCTGCAAGGGGTTACCCTTGCCGGCTTTGTGAAATGGCTCCGTTTATATAGAATTGGAATAAGGAACCGACCTCAAGTTTAGCTGCTGCAGTTCCTGCAATCCGGAGTCCCTGGCTTCTTGCCAAAGCCTGCAGCTTTCGAATACCAAAGCCTCTGGCTTCTTGTCCAAAGCCACTGGCTTCATAGCTTTCCCAAAAGCAAGGCTTCCCATGGGGAGCCCCTCCCCCGGAGGAGTTTATTATTGCCACCCCGTTTATAATTGCCAGAAGAAAGGCTGCAAAGGGTTACCCTTGCCGGGTTTGTGAAATGGCTCCGTTTATATAGAATTGGAATAAGGAACCGACCTCAAGTTTAGCTGCTGCAGTTCCTGGAATCCGGAGTCCCTGGCTTCTTGCCAAAGCCTGCAGCTTTTGAATACCAAAGCTTTTGGCTTCTTGTCCAAAGCCATTGGCTTCATAGCTTTCCCAAAAGCAAGGCTTCCCATCGGGAGCCCCTCCCCCGGATGAGTTTATTATTGCCACCCCGTTTATAATTTCCAGAAGAAGGGCTGCAAAGGGTTACCCTTGCCGGCTTTGTGAAATGGCTCCGTTTATATAGAATTGAAATAAGGAACCGACCTCAAGTTTAGCTGCTGCAGTTCCTGGAATCCGGAGTCCCTGGCTTCTTGCCAAAGCCTGCAGCTCTCGAATACCAAAGCCTCTGGCTTCTTGTCCAAAGCCACTGGCTTCATAGCTTTCCCAAAAGCAAGGCTTCCCATGCAAATCCCCTCCCCCGGATGAGTTTATTATTGCCACCCCGTTTATAATTGCCAGAAGAAGGGCTGCAAAGGGTTACCCTTGCCGGGTTTGTGAAATGGCTCCGTTTAAATAGTTTTGGAATAAGGAACCGACCTCAAGTTTAGCTGCTGCAGTTCCTGGAATCCGGAGTCCCTGGCTTCTTGCCAAAGCCTGCAGCTTTCGAATACCAAAGCCTCTGTCTTTTTTACTAACATCACGTCTTTGCCAGTTGACATAATTACTGACTATTTACTGATATGTTTTCATGCAAGTGACAAGCGTTCTTGTTTCTTGATTCAACCGCAGCAGGTTCTGGAAAGCAGAAGAGACTGCTGCACTTCTGGAAGCCCGAGCACCCTCTAGCAGAGAAGCCTCCTCTGGAGAAGGAAGCTCAGCCGAAGGGCAGGCCACTGTCCGCTGCCATGAAGCAAATTCTGGCAGAAGTGGCAAGAGAGTCTGTTGTAGAACAGACTAACGAAGAAGCCCGTCTGGAAGCTCAGCGACGCTACGCGAAGAAGAAGAACACTGGCAGACCAAAGAATCTGCCTGGAGCTCCTTCTAAGAAGCGCTCTGCAGAGATGCCTCTGGCAGTGCAAGCCCGTGTTCTGAAGCAGATGAAGACAGAGATGCCTGGCTTTAGTTCTGAGCAGGACTTCGCTAAAAGCATGAGCCAGAAACTTGGTCTGGACAAGAAGTACGTGAAGAAGCTCTGGGCTAGAAGAGAAAACGTTCTCTTGCAACAGTCTGAGCGGAACTTTTCTGTGAGCCCTGGCAAGCACCTCTCTGTAAGGGCCGTGAGAAGGTTACCGCCAGACTCAGTGGGCAAGGCTTCCGTCTGACAGGAGCTGGCCGCAAGACAGAGTTTTCTGCCGTGAAGACCGCTCTGCGGAACTGGTTCGAGGAGTCTCGTGCCTACGGGCACTCTGTGAAGAAGCGGCATCTGCTGTCGCAGTGGCAGCTTCTGCTGAGCAAGGAGCTTCTGAAGCTCAAGTCTGCGAAGAGTGCCTCTGCAGACTCCTTCGAGCGGGGTCGTCTGGATCAAAAGATCTCTGAAGGCGAGAAGCAGCTGCAGTCTGCTGCGAAAGATTCTGGCAAGAACCGTCTGAGGCAGCTGTTGCTGGATGTCGGTGCCAAGAATCTGCAGCCGGATCTGAAGACGAAGCTGTCTGAGTCTGAGGAGATGGTCTCTGCGAAGCTCACTTACCAGAGTCTGGACCGCACTCTGTGGACAGCCTGCTTCGCACCTCTGGAGGATCTGGCGACCAGGGTTGCCAAGCCCTCTGAGTTCAGAGAGCACGTCTCTGATTTGGTCGTGATCTGCTCCGACCAAATCCCTTTGTGGGTAAAGTCTGGCAGCGAGCGAGAGCTCTTTGCTGAATGGGAGCACAACCCTCTGCCCCAGCAGCATCTGCGAGAGGCTCTGAAGAATCACCATCTGTCCTCCTCTGACCAGGTGAAGTCTGGCGATCTGGTGGCACCTCTGCTGCAGGCTGCGAAGCCGTCTGCTGAAGCTGCCCGTGCCTCTGGTCAGAGGCAGAAGAGGGCCTTTCTGGACGCGGACTCTGTGCGCTACCGTGTCACCTACGAGGCCAGGCAAGCTCTGTACGGCCTCTGCAAAGACCCTGCTCTGGAGGGCGAGTCTGGTTTGAGCGGGCAAGTTCTGCCTGGTCTTCTGGTGGTGCACGGCTCTCACGCTCGTCTGAACAACATCGACAGCTCTGGTCGATTTCTGCGAGACGAGACGTTTGAGTTCTCTGGCAAGGTGATCTGCCGCAAAGCAGGCTCTTCTGCTGGCAATCTGCTCCGTGGCTGGGGACAAGGATCCTTCTCTGTTTCGCTAGATCAGTCTGATGAGCCAGCCCTCTGCGAATGTGGATGGCATCATCTTCGCCTGGGCTCAGGAGGAGCTGGCTGCTCTGGCACCTGCCTCTGTCCATGTCCGCGACTGCTTCGCGGCGGCCTGGTCTGTCTCTGGGGCAGAGTCTCTGTTCTACTCGCAGAGTCTGCAGACGGTCATTGGACCGAAACTGACTGCGAGTCTGCAACTGACTGACACAGACTATGGCCAGATCGGCCAAAAGTCTGGCAAGGTCTGCCATGGACGACCTGAGGCTGCTCTAATCATTTTGTTTTTGCTTCCCTTCTCTAATGTCCGGTTTAAGAACACTGTCCTAAACCATACGTGCCTGCAGGCATGCCGGTCAGACTGCTCTGCTGGCAGCTGGCGAGAAGGAGTTCTGGCGAGCGAGCCATCTGGACATGGCGACGGCTGTGGTGCAAGCTCAGACGAAGATGTCTGAGCGACAGGCCTCCAAAGACTGGATCGTGTCTGGTCTTCGCCGCAACGGTCTGCTGGCTTACAGACCGGACTTCTCCAAGCAGACTCTGGTGCCTCTGAAAGACGAAGACTGCTGCGGCGCCTCCATGGGCCGCTCTGCTCTCCTCTATTTTTCCAGCTTCAAGTAATCTCTAGCTCGCAGAATCCTGCAGAATCGGCCGTAGAGAGGGCCGTTCGTTGCCTCCTTCAGCTCAGAGGCCTTCTCAGAGACGGGGTCAGCAGGAGCAGGGGCAGGCACCAAAGCAGAGTCGCCGGAGGGCTTGTCGTCCAGAGCCTTGGCCTTCGCCAGAGCCTTCGCAGCGTGGGCCAGGGCCGTCTTTTTCTTCTGCTTCAAAACGGCCTTCTTCACGACAGAGGGCTTCTTCTCAGAGGCTCTCGGCACCAGACGTTGCAAAGCTTGCTGTCGGGACATCTGTGTCAGACGATGCCTCATGGCTTCCAGAAGCTTTCCTCGAAGCTTCCGCTTGGCCAGAGTGATCATCTGCTTCACGTCTCGCTTGACAGTTTTCTTGTGCAGAGTGTCTTTGTCCGCAGAGAGCTGCTTCTGCCAGGCTGCACGTTGCAGGTCCAGAGAAGGTGTCAGGACGCCAGATTCGATGCAGGGGAGCTGCAGATCCAGTGGCATCTCGCGCACGTTCAGAAGGGCCTCGGAGACCTGGCTTTCCAGAGCCTCGTCCTGCGAGTCCGACTGGTGGTAGCTCCATTCCACCAGATCCGCCACGACTTTGGCTCCGTGCAGAGCAGACCAGTCCGGCTGGGCTGGAATGCCAGATGCATCCAGCCAGGAGTAGCGGTCCTTCAGCCAGGCTGGCTTCGTCCTTGCAGAACCTCGGCTGCCAACATGTCGAGGACCACACCTGTGTCAAGTCTGGCAAGTGCTCTATGCACAACCTTCTGACGAACCAGGTGTCTCTGCTTGGCCACTGAGTCGCATTTATTTTCTTCAATAATTAAGACAGTTTCTGTTTCATTGTCTGCTCAGGTGTAGGGGATGCCTGTGCCACCGTGATCCTCTCTGACAAGGAGGTCTGCGAGGTGGATCCACTCTGGCAGACTCCGAAGAAGTGGAAGAGCATGCGCCTGAAGAGGGATCTGAAGCAAAGCATTTTGCGAGCTTGCGGTGGCTCTAGCCTCTTTTTGGAGGCTTCTGGTGGGTTCTTTGCTGCGGAGCCTGTGGAACTGCTGAAGTTCAAGAAGTCTTACCCGCAGATGCTTCTGGACCAGCATCTTCGGTACGGCTGGGAACTTCTGCGCTACAATCTGAGCGACTCCGACGAGAACTGGTTCCTGGAGAACAAGATCTGCATGGTGGACCCGAAGCTCTCTGGGCAGCTCCTCGGCGAACACGACCGCCCCGAGCTTCTGCGGGCTGCTCTGGACAGACTTCGTTCTGAGAACAAGCTGCTGTTCGTGCCTGTCTGGGGGAACTCTCCGAACCACTGGACTCTTCTGGTGAAGAGCTCTCAGAAAACTTCTCTGTGAAGTACGTGGACAGCCTGTCTGAGAAGCACGAGGAGTGCTCTGTGAACGCTGCCCGGCTTCTGTCTCTGCTTCTGCCGGCAGAGACTCTGCGAGAGAGAAGCTCCTCTGGCACCCAGAAGTCTGACGAGTGCGGCTTCTGGGTTCTGGCCAACATGCTCTGGATCTGCTCGGGCCTGCTTCTGGAAGGACCCTGTGCTCGTGGGTCTCGCGGGAAGCTGGTTCTGGAGCTCATGTCTGAGCTGAAAGGCTTTCTGGCGCAGCTGTCTGGCGAGCAGTCTAAGCTGGACAAGGAGCTTCTGGCCAAAGAGAAGGATCTGGAGAAGACTCTGAAGGCCAACCGGATCCGGTCTGAGAAGCTGGCTGCGAAGTTTGGCAAGGACGCTGCCTCTGTTCTCAAGCTTGAGAATCTGGCGAAGCAGCTCCTCTCTCTGAACAAGGAGCCTGACGCCTCTGATCTGTCTGAGGAGGACAAGTCTCGGATCGAGACTGTCCGTCTGACAGGTCTGGGCGTATAAGTGATTCATCTAGGCCCGGGGGCCGGGACGCGCAAGGGGGTTCAGGGCATTTGGAGCATGGGTTCCAAGCCCTGGACTTGAAAATGATTTGTTGTAGTAGGGTTTGATTATTTTTCCATCAATCAGTCAGCACAAGAACAACAGCCTCTCCAAACAAGTACCGTCCCTTCCCAAGAAAACGCGGCACGTTTTGGAACAAAATCGTCGTGAAAGCTACAAACCTACAACTTGTGATGTAGCCAACCCAAACTGCAAACCGCAAGCAAGCATATCTTCCTGACTTTGTCGGCTGTTTTATGAACTCGAATTCCGCGATTTCTCAGCCGCCGGGCCGAAACTCGATTGGGAATTGGGAATCCGAATCGCAGCACAGTTCAGGCTCATGACTCACGTGACAGTGACAGCTTGACAACTTATCATCCAATCTTGCAAGAGGGCGTAGGCAGTAGGCATAGCCTAGCTTGCTTGAGGTGTTACATTGGTTTTCGTTGTGTAGTGTCATAGTGCTATGGCAGAGCCTGCCATCTTTAGGCTTCCAGATCCTGGGGACGGTGAGCTTGAGGACAGAGAGTCCGAGTCAGAGGCCGAGGAAGCTCCCACGTCTGCAGGTGCCCTGCGGAATCGTCGATATAGGGCCAAATGTCGAAATGCTTCCCGTGCAGAGGTTTTGTTTCTGTATGTGAAAACCTGTGGCGACGAATCAGAATCTCTGGGCACCGCTGCTGCAGGGAATTATTTGTTGTGTGTTGCTGAGCTTGGGGAAAAATGCATCAAGCCGCTGGGTGCCCAAGAGCACTTGCAGCAGCAAGATACTTGGCGAGCTCGGCATCAGAAACGTCGCGATCGAGATTTCGCCGCTAAGCAGATGTCCCTCCAGAACCAGACAACCCGAAACCAGATGTTCAAGTGCTGTTTGAAGTCTCTTTTTCGTTTCAGGGCAGCTGTCCAGTTGGGGCCTGCCCAGGCTGCAGTGGCAGGTGCCTTGTGCCGGGCACCTGCAGCTGCTAACCAGGGTGCGGTGACTCCTGTTCCTGCGATGCCCGCCTTGGCTGGCAGGTTGGCGGTTTTGCCTGCAGGGCAAGCGCAATGGGTTTTTCAAGCTGCTGCGCCAAGCGTCATCTTCGAAGCCGTTGCAGATCGCCAGGGCCTTTACACTTGCTTTGCAGACGGACAGGCGGCGGAGCCTGAAGTAGGCACTGCGAGGCGTTACCTAGGGCGTCCTTTCTGGATGGTTCGCTTGCCACCAACTGTCATGAAGCATTTGATGGAGATAGGCAAGGAGTTCGTGGTTCCTGGTGGGCTTGTGACTTCTTTGGGGCACCAGTTGCCCGGAACCGTTCCTGCTGCGGCAGAAGGAAGCCCCAGTGATGGTGCCGACAGTGGTTCCTCTTCCTCCTGCGAGATGAAGAAAGTGCGCAGGCCGGCCATGCAAGAAATCCTGTTGGGAAAGCTCGCTTACAAGCTCAGCTTAACGGTAGGCATTCAAGATGTGGTTCGCACCGTCCTTCGAATGTTAGTGCCAGATAGTTTAGGTCTGGCAGACAACATGAAAGTGTCGCATGGGCATGTGCGGAATATCTTGCTAAAGCTTGATGCCTTGCATTCCTTGTTTCGCCGGTTCCTTGCCCCACCAGGTGGTGGGGCAGACAAGTCGCTGCGAATTGTCAGGTACATCAGTCCTGACAGTTCCCCGCAAGCGAATTATGATTATTTTTGTGCGACAGAAGAGTTGCTGCTCTATCGTTCCGACGAGCTTCCAAGGGATGCGGGTGGAAATGTAGCTCCTTTCAAAGGGTTTGAACACCAGAGGCGTTCGATGTTGTGTACAACAATTGCGAGAGGACAAGGAAGCACAGCTTCGAAGGCAAGCAAGATGGTACATATGATTGCCGTTGAGAGTGGTGCGTCTTTCTTTGAGACGTATCGTTCGGAAGTTCGGGGCTTCTTAAGCGATCAAGGAACGGAGCGAGGCATAGCATCGTTTCCAGTCCGCAGTTGCTCTGAGGTCCAGAGTATTGTGGGCGCTCAAGCTTTGGCGAGCGAGGCAATACAGGAGGATTTTCGTGAATTGCCGCTCTTTCATTCCGCTCTACACATACCGGGAACACTACACATAGTGTTTAACGCACTGGAATTCAGCTTGAAGCAGCTTGAAACCTGGCAAAAATTCGAGAAACAGTTGAACAGCATCACCCGTGTGTGCAAAGAAAAGAGTTACTCAGAAGTAATTCTTGTGAGAATGATGAAGCATGCGAGCCCCGAGGAGAGACGGTTGTTGCATCGGATGGATGACCTCTTAGACTGGAGGTGGGATTCGCTCGCAAGAGTGCCCCACCTTCAAGAAATATTGGAACCCAGCTGTTTTTGGTGGGGACAGCTCGTCAGTCACAATTCGAGCTGTGACGGAAGCGTTGGCAGACGAGTGCCATTTCGACATGGCAGTGTGGACGCATCAGTTCTCTGCCGAGGCCACCAGGCTGGCCCACTTTTTCGAGGGTTGTCACTGCCATCAGGAGCAGCTGACAGACCCAGAAAACCGGGAAAAGATAAACTGTTGTTGGAAAGGCAGGCGCTTGCCTTGGCTTGCGGTTGGTAATCTCCAGGGAGCTTTGCAAGATGCCATGACAAACAACGAGATTAGTGTTCTTGCGCATCTCTTGTCTCGTTCTAGTGAAACTGCAAGTCGGATGGCGCACATGGCGGACACGTGCAACAAAGTATTTGTTGCCGTTATCCAGCAAAAGCTTGCGTATGCTCAGCAAGTACCATGGGTGTTTGCCGCAGCGTTTGCGGGGTATATGGGCGAGACTTGGGGCCGAGTGAAAAAGGTTCTTCGGCCACATCTTCAGAACGTTGACAACATGATCTCCAGTGGCCAAGTCGGCGCTCTAGACTCTGTTACACATGCTTTGTTTGGACCAACCGACACAGGCCGCATGCTCCGAGAGTTTCTGAACTCGGAGGATGACGTGCCCCTTGATCGATGGCCAGCGTTGTTTTGGAGAGTACAGGAATATGCCTTTGTTTCTTTGTCCGAGCGACACACGGAGAGAGAGCATGTCGGTGTCAAGGTTGCAGCAAACCGTGGTCTCACAAAGGCTGGGCCTGCAGTTGTCTGCAGCCGCAAGCGCAGAGATCAAGTGTTGGAGATGCTGGAAGATGAGAAACAGCTCGCTTTCTTGGTCAACAATTGGCGCAGCAGGCGCCTTTGGAGTAGCCTGCTGGAGCACATGCTCACTCACGAAGAGGTTCGACTTATGGAGACGCCAAAGAGGCTTTCCCGCTTGTACGGGTATAGCGAGGAAGACCACTTCAAAGATTGCGAGGACTCTGTTCGTGCTGATGCCGTTTACCGCCAAACTTTGAGAGATCAGACTTTGTTACTGGCCGGAAGCTTCAAGCTTCCGAGTGCTTCCCACCAGGTAGTGAACTGGCTGAAAGGCCATTTGGCGACGGGCGTGTTTTTCAGTGTGTCCACGCATGTCTTTGAGCTACTTGTCGACAGGGGTCGGAGATGTGAAGACCCAGCCGCATCCTTCAGAACCGACGTGCTGCTGTCTATTCTGCGAGCCGACGTCCACCCTCGGGTAAGTGATCGTGCTTCGGTTTTCTGCTCGGTGCTGGATGCCAGGCCAGAAGCAAGAACGGATGCTCGTGTTTCGCGACCTGCTGCACACATCACAGACCCGAAGCTAGGCCGCCGCAGCTGTGTGGTTGTGCAGCGTTTCCACGACGTGGATGTTTCCCAGGGCGTGCACGGCCTTGGTGGAGATGTGCGGGTGGCGTGCACGAATGTGCGGATCGAGGTTCTCGACTTGGCACGGGTGTGCACAGCAGAGAACTTGAAAGCCTTTTGTGCAAACTGTTTGCTCTGGCGTGCTATGCCTGCGGAACTGGCCTTGGCTCTGGGAGACGAGTCCACGCAGCCAGGTTTGCTGCAGGAGCCGCAAGTGCAGAAACTTCCAGAGATTGTCTTAGACAGCGATCCTGCCTGCTTGTTGAGTCGACCGCCTCCGGATCCGCATGTGGAAGATGCCCTCGACATCCTGCACCCCCCTGCCCATGTCGTGCAGAATGCGGACGACTCTGCGGTGCTGCAGGTCTACGGTGCTCCGTGTAGCGACCGAGAAATGCAAGCTATCAAAGAGTTGCTGCGAGCAAGGGCCATCGGCATTGAATCTGCTGTGTATGCCACAGACCTTGAACACTTCGATGCTGTTGCACTGGAAGGCTTGCGTGACCGAGGTCTTGTCATCTGCGAGACTGATATGTTCTCAGATGTATCCGTCGCCTTGACGGGCAAGTTGACCTACAGTGCAAGCTTGGTGCTGGCACGGCCATTGTTGCTTTGGGAGCTTGACCAAACGACTTTGACTCGAGGCCAGATGCCAGGCCGATCAAAGTTGGAGTTAATTCGTTTGTTGTTTGTCTTGGGCTGGGAGCCAGGGCTGGGCCGGGAAGCGTGGCATCGCAAGCAGGGAGAGAAACGTCTTCCAGATGACGTTCTAGTTTGCAGCCTCCCCTTCCTCAGAGCTTTGATGCTGAGTCGGCTTATATGGGAAAAGCCCGGCAACTTGTCGGGCATTTACTTGAAAGGCCCCCAGCAGGATTATGAGTTCTTGGTGGATCAGGACGATCTCAGCAGCTTGCGGGATGCTTCTGCAGAGGAAATCAATGCTCGGTTCGCGCAGAAGAAAAAAAGACCTGCTGGCCGCAGCTTGACAAGAGATGCGGCTACAGGTCTGGAGCTTGACCCAGAGGCTGATGATGCCGAGTTAGAAGAGCTTGTGCAAGAGCTGCCTGAAAAGCTCATGCAAGCAGAAGAGCCGCAGCCAAGCATGGCCAGCGGTGGTAGACGTGTCGCTCCTCTAGAAATCGACTTGGGAGGCGGTAGGACACAGGTAGTGCATTTTGACAATTTCACACACTCCAGCGGTCAGCTCCGAGCATTCGTTGCTTGCGAGACACACAGCGGCTGCCGCTTGTACACGTTTGTACGGCATCATGGCAGCCGCAGGCGGGCTGCTGCCTTTTTGCTTGCTTGGCAAATGCGAGGAGCTCACCACCGCAGAGCTGAAGCTCACATTGCGGACAAGCCAAGTGAAGAGCAGGTGGATGCCATGATGCTCCGGATCGCTTGATGCAACACACGGCAGTCAGAGTGAACGTTTGAGGGTTTTTTTTAGTTTGTTGCATTGTTTGGATGCAGGACACGTGTTGGCTGACTGTGCTGCTTCCGTTTGCTGCAAGAGTACCTCGGTCACTGTGTGCATGTGTGACTGCCCGTGCATGTGTGACTGCCCGCAGCCCCTTTCGGCTCCTTTGGGCTGTGCAGGGGCCAATGCATTGGCATTTCTCCCACTACGGAAGGCCGGCAGGGAGAAGTGTAGTCGAGTCTCGAAAGCTTTGCGGTGAGAAACCTGTAAAGTTACAAAGCTTTGAAACCCAGGCAGTCCTTAAGCCCCTAGAGTAAGAAGCTTGCTAACTCACAGAGCCAGATGCGGCCACCGTGTGCTCACCTGGGTTTCGGGCTGCGTTTTCGACGCTAACCCATTTCCCAGGCTGCACTTTGGATCGGCACGCTACCTGGTCTGTGGGCTGCACGAAGCTACCCTGGAGCTACAGGATGCACAGTAGTCAGTTTAGCGTCCCCGCTATAGGTGTAGCAGCAAGCCAGGTTGCAGTTGCAGGTGTCTGTTGGAACAGATTAGCCTCTCAAAAGCAAAGCAAAACCCCCAACACCTTAAAAAAAATTGCTCGCAGGTGGGTGCCGGTGGTCTACAACCAGTGGGGCGAGGCGCAGCTCCCACACCGGCCGCCTGCGCTGTTGCCGCCGCATCCGCCGGCGGCGGCGGCCCCTTTTGCTGGCACGGGTGCAGCCCACGGTGCAGCCACAGGTGGCGGTGTTGCTGCTAACCCCTCGGGGGCTGCAGCAATGCCGGCGCCGAAAAAAAATCCTGGCCAGGTGGACCTAAGCAGCGAGGATGACGACGAGGAGTCTGAGGAGGAGGAGGCGGCTAAGAAGGACGAGGACAAGGAGCCGGACTCCCAGTCGCGGAAGGATGATATCGTGGTGGTGGACCACGACCAGGAGAAGAAGAAAGAAGAAAAGGGTGGCAAAAAGGAGGAGGCTGCTCAGAAGCGCAAGAAGAAGAAGGAGAGCAGCTCTTCCAGCGGAGGCAACAGTGAGTCCTCCAGCAAGAAAGAAAAGCCCCGTGCAGCCCCCGCTGCCAAGGAGGCCAAGCAGGCACACGAGGCCCAGGCCGACGAGAACGAGAGCGGCAAGGCCAAGGAGCCCAAGGAAGACAAGGAGGCGGAGGCGGCGGAGGGCGAGCCTGCAGCGCGGCCTGCGAGGAAGAACCGCAGCCGGCACTCAGCGGACGAGGCAGATGTCGTTCGCTGCGAGCACTGCTGGATGTGTGTGAAGAAAGAAGGCCTGCAAAGCCACCTGGAAAACAGCGAATACTGCCGCCAGTGGCGGCTCCACACCGCCGGCCAAAATTTGGCCGGCCAAAAGCCTGCGGAAGAGCAGGCGAGCTCGGGTGCGTGCCAGTGCAGATACTGCTCACGGCAGTTCATGCGCAGGTGGGACATGCTGCAGCACTGCCTGGGCACGCACCCGAGCTCCGACGAGGCTAAGGAATGCCTTGCCGCTATGCACAATAAGCGGAAGAAGCAGCCATCAAAGGAGGACCGGGCGGCTGAGAAGAGCCAGCACAGGCCGCCGGTTCAGCTGAGGAGCAGGGGGCGTGTGGAGGAGCCGCCGCACAGACGTGGCCCGCGGCGTGAAGAGAGCCGAGATGATGATGGCAGCCGTGGGCGCCGGAGAAGCCGTGGTGAGAGCCGCCAGAGCCGTGGCCAGGCAAGCTCTCGAGGCGGCGGCCAGGCAAGCTCTCGGGGAGCCGCAAAGGCGGCGGCCAGGCAAGCTCTCCCGCAAGAGCTCCCGCGGCAGCGAGCACATGGACCGACGCTTCTCGGGCCGCTCCCGCAGCCGCAGGGCGAGCGAGCCTGCGGCAAGCTCCGGCCGCCGTGGGCGCGATTCGCGGAAGGAGCCGACAGGGCAGCTAGGCCGCAGCAAATCATCGCCAAGGGATCGGGCCATGGTGGCGGGTCAGAGCCAGAGCCCTCAGATCCCCCAGATGATGCTGGCCTTTTTCGATGCCACCAAAAAGATGCTGGACATGCAGCAGCAGCAGTCCTAACATCGAAGATTTTTGGGCGAGAGGAAGAATCCTGGGCCTGGTGTCCTAAGATCCGTGCGATCCTGGACCCAGAGCCCTAAGATTCGGCTCTCGCAGAGGAGGCTCGCGGTAGCTAGGCCGTAGAGCCAGGCCGTAGGGTAGGAGCCCGACTGGCCTTCACCCGCCCTTAGCTCACGAAAGCCTTCAGGCCCCAAGCAAAGCTACAGCTACTACAGCTTTTAAGCTTTTAGCCGGAAACCGGAAACCTGAACCCTTAGGCACCAAGCAAAATACAGCTACTACAGCTTTTAAGCTTTTAGCCGGAAACCTGAACCCTTAGGCACCAAGCAAAACTGAAGCTGAAAAGGCCAAGTCGGAAGTAGCTCCAGTGTTCCACTCACCAAGCACTGCCGAGCACAGTCGTGCCAAAAAAGATTCGTTTCAGTTTTGTTTTTGCCATGTTGAACTCATAAAGGGTTTTAAGGCCACAAGAGGACAGAACACAGAAAACACAGTGAATTCTCAAGGGGGCGGCCCTGGGGGTCTTCGGGTGGGCTTTGGGGGCACTGGGAGGGCTCTGGAGGGCGTTTGCAGGGGATTTAAGCACCTGTTTGGGGGTCTCGTGTTCGGGGTGTCCGGGGTCGTGTCGGGGTCGTGTCCGGGATGTCCGGGGTCGTGTCCGGGATGTCCGGGGTCGTGTCCGGGATGTCCGGGGTTGTGTCCGGGATGTCCGGGGCGGGGCCCGGGAAAGGTGTCCGGGGCGGGGCCCGAGGGTGTCTGGGGCCGTTTTGGGTGTCCCGCCCATGTCCCGCCCATGTCCCGCCATGTCCCGCCCATGTCCCGCCATGTCCCGCCCGTGTCCCGCCATGTCCCGCCCGTGTCCCGCCATGTCCCGCCGTGTCCCGCCATGTCCCGCCCGTGTCCCACCCGTGTCCCGCCCATGTCCCGCCCATGCCCATGTCCCGCCAATGTCCCGCCATGTCCCGCCCATGTCCCGCCATGTCCCGCCCATGTCCCGCCATGTCCCGCCCACGTCCCGCCATGTCCCGCCCTTGTCCCGCCCGAGTTCCGCCCAGCCCCGGTCCCGCCCACGTCTCATGATGTCCTTTGCGTCCTCTAAACTCTTTGCACAGCAGCCGTTTTCTCTCGAGGCTTTGTTTGTGTTAGCAGCAAAGAAAAAAAGCGCCAGGGGTATGCCTGGCAAACGCAAACGAGGTGACTCTCCAGTGCATGAGACCGATGCGACCCAGGAGCCGCAGGCGGGCAGCAGCACACAGGAGCGATCCGAGCGATCCCGATCCCCGCGAGGGGAAAGGGTTGCGACTATCATTTGGAAGTGGTGCTGGAAACGAATGGAGACAGATGATGGGACCATTTGGTGGTGGCAATGGTGGAAGGAAGGGTCAACGAATGGAGACAGATGATGGGACCACTTGGTGGTGGCAATGGTGGAAGGAAGGGTCCAGAATCTGAGTGCGGTTTTTTTTCGGGTCAGCCCGACAATAAGAGTTTGCGGTGGAATGCTGTCGCCGACAATAAGAGTTTGCGGTGGAATGCTGTCGCCGAATTGCATGACTCAGAGATTGCATGATTGCCTGTCTCAAGGCCTTGCATGGAAATGGAAACAAGTGCATTGCAAGGGTAGACTGTGCCACCCAATTGCCTGACTGAGAGACTGCATTGCATGATTGCTTGTCTTTTTTCCGTGGGTGGAAATGTTTACATCAGTCCTGAGTTTGTCACTGAGAGTGAGCAAAGCCAGTTCCAAGAATAGCGTAGACAGCCGGAGCCATCATCCTGATTTCTTTTCTTTCTCAAGCCAAGCTTTTGTTTTTAGTGGGTTGCAGCATGATGGAGACTGGGGCAGCGAAGCTCCTGTATGCGATGAGTCCTTGGAGCTCAAAGCTGGGGCGTGCACCTGTGGTTGCTGAGCCCTGTGTAGGCATCTCTGCTTATCGAGAGTGGATGCAGAAAGCAGGGCTTGTTTACAGGCCATGCGCAGCCTACGATTTCAACATGGACTTGGTGCCGTTTTGGCGAGCTCTGCGAAACCAGGGTTTGCAGGGGACTTCGGAAGTCAAACTGGGTTGCAAGAAGGGGACATCGAGAGGAATGTCGTGCTGTCAAAACTGTCAAGTGCGGAAGGCTTGATAAGCGGGCCCCCTTGTCAGCCTTTTGCCTCCACAGGTTTAAGGCAGGGCGCCCAGGACGAAAAAGGCCGCACAGATGTTTTTGAATCAGTTGTAAGCATGATATGTGAGGAAGGCTCGCGTGGCTGTCTTCTGTTTTTCATTCTGGAAAACAGCTCACATTTGGCTGATGCCAACCATGCTGAGTTTCTGAATGAGATGCTCTTGAGACTTGAAGTGTCACTGCCATATTTTTTGGTAGACACCGTGAAAAAGGATGCTGCGGAGTTTCTGCCAGTCAAGAGAGGTCGTTTTTTCATCAGAGGGCTAAGGAGAGACTGCCTGCCAGACCCCATGCAGGCGTTCCTCCCTGCCCCCCTGTGCTGCACGGATCTGCTCCCGGCAGTCACAGTGGAAGAGATTTTGGATCTGAGCTTGGCTGCGACCGATGTGCAGAGTTTGTGTGCAGGGCACGCTGCTAACCTCGCATTGTACAAGCAGACCATATCTCAGTGCATCGAAGAGCATCGTGCCCAAGGCAAGCCGCTGCCCTCGAACACGGTTGTTGTGGAGCTCGACCGAAACCCCTTGAGAACTTTCGGCGGGAAGTGGGGTTGGGGCAAGATCCCATCACTGAGGACTACGGGGCCACCTTTGTTTCTTCTGAGTTGCGAGGACTTGTCGAGGCCATGGCAGGTCATGCGACTGCACAGGTGGCTCAGCATCGCTGAGCGGTGCAGCGCTCTGGGGCAGCGTCCAACCCACGCGGCCTTGTTCTCGAGAGACACCCATGCCCTGCATGCGATCGGGAACGCTCTCTCGCCAGTGCAG